TGTATCGTGTGCAATCTCTGAGCATCTCATATACCATGTCCGCAGCCTCTGACCATCTCTTGTATCATGTGTGCAGTCTCTGAGCCATCTCTTGTATCATGTGTGCAATCTCTGAACATCTCATATACCATGTCCACAGACTCTGGCCAGCTCCTGTATCATGTGTGCAATCTCTGAGCATCTCATATACCATGTCCACAGACTCTGGCCAGCTCCTGTATCATGTGTGCAATCTCTGAACATCTCATATACCACGTCCACGGACTCTGACCTTACTATTGTATCATGCCTGCAGTCTCTGACCATCTATTGTGTCATGCCCATAGTCTTTTTATATACTGTGTTGTATGTCTGCTGTCTCTGACACTGAATATTCACCGAATTTTATGTGTGGCCCTTTGGTGATGTTTGGGGCTGCACTTGAGGCTACCCAAATGAAGAAAGTTAACCACCACTGATTAAGTCACTGCTCCAGTATTGTGACATTTCTGTCATATCAGACAGGTGCAGGATAACTAGCGGGAGCTTCTGCTTGTATGATCCTAAGAATACAAAGTATTCCCATATGCACCTTTTGAAAGAAAAACAAGCATTGCAGCAAAAAATGAAAAATACATGGAGGATCTGATACTTCTGCCTTATCGCTGGGGTCATCCAATTAGGATGCAGTAACAAGGTTTGAAGTGGTGGATACTGTGACCTGGGGAAAGGGGGGGGAGACAAAGACCCATCTTGTGTTGCCCTGCTCCTTCCCTGTGACATGTGAATGCACGGAACCCTTTTCCCATTGGGGTTACTCGTTTCTTTCTTTCTGCCTGGTTTCTCCCCATCTGTTCAGCTGTGATGATGTACCCATAAAGACAGTCAGGCTACAGGTGCGGTCATTGGTGCATTTAGGTTTTGTACTGCCCTAGGCAACACAAAAATCAGGCGTCCCCACCCCCATGGAGAGAGCCTGACATTGACTAACAACACCTTTGCCCACTTGAGAGAGCCTTTTCCCCTGGCTCACCTTCACAGCTCCGGACATCCCCGGGAACAAGAGTTGGGCTCTCCATACACCATCAAGCAGCCCAAAACCTCTCTCAGATCTCACCTGGTCCCCATGCCGCATGTGTCCCTTCTTCCGTCCCTTCTTCCGGGGGGTGGTGCTGCCCCCCTGAAAAATGCCACCCTAGGCAAATGCCTTGTTTGTAAATACGCCCCTGGGTGCGGTACTGATGGCAGGGTGGTATATGAGATTATGGAAAGTAGAGTGTAAATCCCGGTTCACACTGAAGCGGTGCGGGATTTGCAGCGATTCCTGTGCATTTCCTGCACTGCATCACAATCTCACTCTGTTCATGCGAACTGCTGCGGGTGTCAATGTTAAGTTAATAACACCCACAAACAGTTCACAAAACGCAGTGCGATTGGCTGAAACGGATCGTATGGGTGTTTGCACCTTTCTCCTGCGGATGCAGTGCAATTTGAGCCATACAAATGAATGGGCTCAAATTGCACTGCAAAAAAAAATTGCATGTAATTTGAACAGGAATGTGGTGCGATTCCTCCATGCACTGCACCAGAACCTAATGCTAAATACTTTCACACATGTTACCAAAATCACATATACAGTATATGATGATGTTTCCTTACAGGAAACTACCAGCACAGCTAGTTTGTGTTGTTCTGAGGTTCACGGCACAAGGGATCCCCACCTCTCATGACACCCTTGGGTTGCTTTCATACTGGCGGTATCATTTACCACCATCTGAAAAAACAAAATCCACGCTGGAACGCTTTTCAGAGGGTGGTGAAAGCTGTTTAGCTGGCATTCAGGGGGTGATATTGCCACCTCTTGATGCTAATTTTACATTGCGTGACCACACACCAAGTTTTGAGCTTGCGACTGCAGCATGGCCCCCCATTCACTTACAAGGGGGAGTTTGGCAGGTGGTGCCACCTGTCAGATTCAGCATGTAGTGTTAAAATTGCTGTGCCACAGTGCAAAGAATTGTGACTGCGGCAATGTGTACTGCTCTGATCAGCGCCATGTCCCCTTGCAGGTTGGCTGTTGGATTAACCACCTGTTCTTACCGCCCCCTTTCCCCCTCAGCCACCTGTGTGAAGGGAATTTTAAAAGTGGGGCTAGGGGTTGCTTGAGCTGTGACTGATTGACCTATCATCTGATCGTGCCTGCATAGTTCCAGGGCCAATGCCACCTGCAAAAGCCAGCAGCATGAACCTAATGATTGTTTTTGCATGGAAGGGGGCATTTTTATCCATTGGCCATCACAAATTGGTTTTAGAGGGTTTCTTCGAGACCTAAAATTATTTCTAGGATTCTTCTGGAATAATTTCACTGTCTGTGCAGAAAGCATGACCCTTTATACAGTAAGAATGGACACACCACAAAGGTGGTTTTGCAAGTGTGATATTATTTTTATTATTATACAGGATTTATATATCACCAACAGTCTGCTCAGCGCTTTACAATATAAGAGGAGACAATACAGCAAAAATACAGTTCAATACAAGAGGGAAAGGAGGGCCCTGATCCTGGGAGCTTACAATCTAAGAGGGAGGGGCTGGTGGTACAAAAGGTAGTAACTGTGGGGGATGGACTGGTAGGAGGAATAGAAGATTCCATTATTAGCTGAGGGCAGGATAGGCTTCCATGAAGAGATAGGTTTTCAGAGATCGCCTAAAAGTGAGCAGAGTAGGCAATAGTCTGATAAATTGGGGTAGAGAGTTCCAGAGGATGGGAGAAGCTCTGGAGACGAGCATAGGAGGAGGAGACAAGGAAGCTGGAGAGCAGGAAGTCGTGCGAGGAGCGGAGAGTACGGTTTGGGTGATACAGTATTTGGAGATAAGAATATAAGATTGTGGGTCCTTATTATAGACCATGATGGTGAAAAACGCTGTGTTCAGCATGAAGTCAACACTTGTCATGAAAGCATTCTGTAAATAATTTCCTTGTTTTGTTTTACATACATTTATATTTCTATCCAAATTTCCATTCAGATGAAGCTGTTCAGGAAAAGTGACAATGGCCGGGACCAATTATATAGTGGGCCACACAAGTTTCCATCTGATTGCACAGTTTTCCAAATACCCCCTTTACGCGTAAGATCCAGAAACACGCACAAATCACATGGTTTTATGAACGTCCCTGCAATGTTGTCCTTATAGGAGGCGTGCTTCAGTGCGATTCATTGTTAATGGTACCCCAAGTGCACCTTTCTCATGCGCATGTAAAATTGCACACCAAGCGCAAAGTATCGTGTTTTGGTTAAAAATAGGTGCATAGACTTCTTTGGCATGATTGTTGCACATACAGCAGACCAATGAACTTGCCCGTACAATTGTATGTAGGGCTGTGGGTTTACCAACAACTGTGTGTTACGGGGTTTTATTTGATTAGAAATAAACCACAAATTGTCAAACGCGAAGGCCGGTGGGGCCGAATCAGGCCTTGTCATGTGACCCTTGCTCCTAGTTTTGCAGCTGTAACGTGACAGAACTCCATTTCACCATCTCTGACTCTCACCCTCCACTCCTGCTCCCCACTGTCACTTGTGAACGCAGAAGACTTCTGTATTTACAAGGGACAGCTTTGCTCCCAGAACGAACAGATCCCTGCATGCACAGTGGGGACAGATCTCTTGAATATCTGAGAGATAACGATCTCCCTGCAAGGCAAGACAGAGCCGTCTACACAGCGAGGTACAAGAGCTGGGCCAGGAAAGAGAGAGAAGTGCGAGGAAGCTTTGAGGGGGGAGGGGGGTTGGGGTTGCACACCCCTGAACTCTGTACTCTGTGCATAGGGCACCCCTGGAACTACACTCTGTTCATAGCACACCCCTAAACTCTGCACTCTGTATGTATCAAACTACCAAACCCTGTATGTATCGCACTACCAAACCTGCACTCTGTTCATAGCACACCCCTGAACTCTCTACTCTCTACGTATCGCACTACCAAACCCTGCACTCTGTTCATAGCACACCCCTGAACTCTTTACTCTCTACGTATCGCACTACCAAACCCTGCACTCTGTTCATAGCACACCCCTGAACTCTTTACTCTCTACGTATCGCACTACCAAAACCCTGCACTCTGTTCATAGCACACCCCTGAACTCTCTACGTATCGCACTACCAAACCCTGCACTCTGTTCATAGCACACCCCTGAACTCTCTACTCTCTACGTATCGCACTACCAAACCCTGCACTCTGTTCATAGCACACCCCTGAACTCTCTACGTATCGCACTACCAAACCCTGCACTCTGTTCATAGCACACCCCTGAACTCTACACTCTGTACGTGTCGCACCACGTAACTCTACACTCTGTACGTGTCGCACTACTGAACTCTGACCTCTGTACGTATCGCACTACTGAACTATGACCTCTGTACGTATCGCAATACTGAACTCTGACCTCTGTAGATATCGCAGTACTGAACTCTGACCTCTGTACGTATCGCAGTACTGAACTATGACCTCTGTACGTATCGCAGTACTGAACTCTGACCTCTGTACGTATCGCACTACTGAACTCTGACCTCTGTACGTATCGCACTCAGCGGCGGACTGACCATTTGCAAACTCGGGTACTGCCCGAGGGCCTGAGGTCAGTAGGGGGCCCCATGAGATGCCCCTGGTACCTTTTCCATAGGCTTTTTTGAGTTTGGGCAAGGAGACAGGGGCCCCATGATCCCCTATTGCCCGTCGGCCCCATGAGTTGTCAGTCCGCCCCTGATCGCACTACTGAACTCTGACACTCTGTATCGCACTATGAACTCTGCACTACTGAACTCTGCACTCTGTACGTATCGCACTACTGAACTCTGACCTCTGTACGTATCGCACTACTGAACTACCTGACCTCTGTACGTATCGCACTACTGAACTATGACCTCTGTACGTATATCGCAACTGAACTATGACTGACGTACTACTGAACTCTGACCTCTGTACGTATCGCAGTACTGAACTATGACCTCTGTACGTATCGCAGTACTGAACTCTGACCTCTGTACGTATCGCACTACTGAACTCTGACCTCTGTACGTATCGCACTCAGCGGCGGACTGACCATTTGCAAACTCGGGTACTGCCCGAGGGCCTGAGGTCAGTAGGGGGCCCCATGAGATGCCCCTGGTACCTTTTCCATAGGCTTTTTTGAGTTTGGGCAAGGACACAGGGGCCCCATGATCCCCTATTGCCCGTCGGCCCCATGAGTTGTCAGTCCGCCCCTGATCGCACTACTGAACTCTGACCTCTATACGTATCGCACTACTGAACTCTGCACTCTGTACGTATCGCACTACTGAACTCTGCACTCTGTACGTATCGCACTACTGAACTCTGACCTCTGTACGTATCGCACTCAGCGGCGGACTGACCATTTGCAAACTCGGGCACTGCCTGAGGGCCTGGGGTCAGTAGGGGGCCCCATGAGATGCCCCTGGTACCTTTTCCATAGACTTTTTTGAGTTTGGGCAAGGACACAGGGGCCCCATGATCTCCTATTGCCCGGCGGCCCCATGAGATGTCAGTCCGCCCCTGATCGCACTACTGAACTCTGACCTCCATACGTATCGCACTACTGAACTCTGCACTCCGTACGTATCGCACTACTGAACTCTGCACTCTGTACGTATCGCACCATTGAACTCTGCACTCTGTACGTACCGCACTATTGAACTCTGCACTCTGTACGTACCACACTACTGAACTCTGCACTCTGTACGTATCGCACCACTGAACTCTGCACTCTGTACGTACCACACTACTGAACTCTGCACTCTGTACGTACCACACTACTGAACTCTGCACTCTGTACGTACCACACTACTGAACTCTGAACTCTGTACGTATCGCACTACTGAACTCTGCACTCTGTATGTAGCACACCCAAGATACAACAAGCCCTTTGAAGGCAACCATACTGCTGATGTGATCTGCAATTACATTGAGTTGACACCCCTGATAAGCTAATCAGACTATTTAGGTACATTTTCTGTTATGTTTATTGGTAAACATAACAGAGTTTGTACAAAGACTGTACAGTCAGGTTGTATTGTGTGTGGCCAATCTAAAGTGAAACTGAATGCAATATGTGAAGATCTGCTACTTTATTGGAAAAAATAAGAATTTATAATTGTGCCTAAGCAGTACCAAGAAAGCCGTACCACTTGCTTAGAATTCCTTAAAAATAAAAAAGTAGTGCAGCTCCTGGTATGTGAGGGTGGCTAAGCACTCCTGTGCTCACAGCTTCATAGCTGTATATCTGCACTGTGAGATCTAAGGCACTGCTGCCTCTGACTGTTAATTTTAGAATGAGATTTGGTGAAGTCACTATTGTGCTGCTCACTGTTTTCCTGGCTGGAGATCCTGACATGAGGGAGAAAAACCCTGCCTCTACCAAGATGCCCACCTTTATGCAAAGACACAGTGCAGAACAAGGCATGACAATCAGTAATGGGGAAGTGTCAGGTACAGTGAGGTCAAGGCAATACTGATGACTAGTCATTTGCCCTCTGTCTGCCTTTTCTTGGGCACAGCTTTTAGAGCTCAGTTCCTCTGACCAGTTCCCATCCGCCCCCCCCCCCCCCCCCACTGCACATTTACTGCAGGGAGGCAGCATGGGCAGGCACAGTCATGTATATATATGTGACTGCCTGCTTCCAGGTCTGTGGGTGTGCCCCCCGCTGACTCACGCTATGACTGGATACAGCACAAGCTTGGCAACTGATTTCAGCCAATGATTTCGGTTGATGTTAGCTGATTGCCTGTGTCCAATCACACACAGAGTTGTGTGTTTATAAACCACAGGACTCTGTCTACAGGGAATAGTGATCTGGAAGTTTTTTCTCCAAAGTAGTAAAGTAAAGTAAAAGCAACACACATTACACATTGTTAGGCACACAGTCAACCCTTTGATTGCCCCAGATATTAACCTCTTCCCAGCCAGTGCCATTAGTACAGTGACTGTGTGCAGTATTAGCACTGGTCACTGTATTAGTGTTACTAGTGATGTCAGTGTCCCTCTCAGCCAGTGTCAGCTAGCGCAAGATTGCCCGCCACACTATCACTGTCCCACTATGTCGCTGATCACCACCATTACCAGTATAGCATTATAGCTGCGTAAATTCAAGTATATATCAGTATACCATAGTTTTTAGAAGCTATAAATTTCACACAAACCAATACACTTATTATGATTTTTTTTTTCCAAAGACATAGCAGAATACATTTTGGCCTAAATTTATGAAGAAATTTGTTTTTTTTTTTTTTTTTTTTTTTTTTTAATTGGATGTTTTTTTTAACAGAAAGTAGAAACTTTTTTTTTTGTTTTTCATTTATATAATAAAAAAGCCCAGTGGTGATAAAATAGCACCAAAAGGAAGCTCCATTTATGTGAAAAAATTATAATAATATTATTATACAGGATTTATATAGCGCCAACAGTTTGCTCAGCGCTTTACAATATAACGGGAGACAATACAGCAACAATACAGCTCAGTACAGAAGGAATATGAGGATATAAATTCCATTTGGGTACAGTGTTGCATAACCACGCAATTGCCAGATAAAGTTGCCAGTGCTGAATAGCAAAAAATGCTCTGGTCACGAAGGTGTAAAACCTTCCAGAGCTCAATTGGTTAACATTTCCATGGTGTACGATCAGTTGCAGTGACAGTTTTTGTTTCTTTAACCTAAAACATTAAAGCCATTTAATTTGAGTTTTTGCATTGACTTTTAGAAATGGGAGCTGGGGAAATGTTTGCATTGTTCTGTGTATTGCCCTGCCCATGGGCACCTTCATTTATGTTAGTTATAAATTGTATAGAGCGGTTACGATTTTTCCAAAACTGAGCTTTTTGCCCGGAGTATCCAGATTGCTCCAGGAAGATAACAGAAGCCATCTGATTGCTACAGGAGACTGCCACAAATTTGTCTCCAGCTTTTTTTTTGGTCAAATAAATCAAGTCAGGTTTTGTTTGAACAAGGCTAATGTAGTGTAGACGCATCCAAAGGCTAAAGCATTTTTCTTCCTTTGGGTCAATTAAATATTTAAATGATCGCTCGCAGGATGACGTCATCTAGTTAGACGTTGGATCAGTCTTTCCTCTTGTTCGGGCCATTTAAGGAAACTGGCATCAGTGTTTCCAGGCCACAATATGAATAGCTGTTTCATACTCATGGTATGATGCATTGCATTACATGGGTACGCCGAGGGCCGGGTTTGGCAGCGCTCCCAATATGTCTGAGCTAAAGCTCCCATGATGCCGCAATGCTCCTAAGGCAGGTCGATAATACCTATGAATGGGCACCGTTCCCAGATCAACCAGTTTAAAACTGACACTTATAAAAACACTCATGCTGAACTGTGTGTAGAAATAGGACTGTGGATACAATGATGCACGAAAGCTGGAGGAAAGCCGGAGCGGTTGTCCATAGGAACCAATTGGGTTTTAGATTTCATTTTTTTATGAACATGAAAAAGGGAGCTCAACTGATGCTCTGGTTTTCTTTGGCTGAATGTTACTAAAGTTGTTTTGAAATGCATGGAGAGGAATCTGGTAGCTGTAGGGTAGCCTTTCTTAATCCTAATATTATGGAGGAACCCATAAAAGAGAATTAAGGTCTTCGGTGAGGTGGTCGATGGGAAGAATGCTCCTTACATTGGTGGTCAATGGGAAGAATGCTCCTTACATTGGTGGTCAATGGGAAGCATGCTCCTTACATTGGTGGTCAATGGGAAGCATGCTCCTTACATTGGTGGTCAGTGGGAAGAATGCTCCTTACATTGGTGGTCAGTGGGAAGAATGCTCCTTACATTGGTGGTCAGTGGGAAGAATGCTCCTTACATTGGTGGTCAATAGGAAGAATGCTCCTTACATTGGTGGTCAATGGGAAGAATGCTCCTTACATTGGTGGTCAGTAGGAAGGATGCTTCTTACATTAGTGGCCATTGAGAAGATTGCTTTTTACATTGGTGGTCAGTGAGAAGATTGCTCCTTACATTGGGGATCAGTAGGAAGGATGCTTCTTACATTTGTGGTCAGTTTGGAGAATGCTTCTTCCATTAGTGGCCAGTGGGAAGGATGATTCTTACATTTGTGGTCAGTTTGGAGAATGCTTCTTCCATTATTGGTCAGTGGGAAGGATGCTTCTTACATTTGTGGTCAGTTTGGAGAATGCTTCTCCCATTGGTGGCCAGTGGGAAGGATGCTTCTTACATTTGTGGTCAGTTTGGAGAATGCTTCTCCCATTAGCGGTCAGTGGGAAGGATGCTTCTTACATTTGTGGTCAGTTTGGAGAATGCTTCTTCCATTAGTGGTCTGTGGGAAGGATGCTTCATACATTGGTGGCCAGTGAGAAACAAATTCTTAACAGTGGTATCAGTGGAAAGAATGCCCCCTACCCCCACCCCTTTTTATACATAGCTATAAAGATCATTGTGTCAGTTGTTACATATATGAGAGGCAGAGACTGCATATTGCTCAATAAACCCCTAGCAAACTCTCATGTGGCCCTCGGAGCCTTCTGACGTGGCCCTCAATCTAAAACTAGGGAAGCACATGTCCAGGGTTGGCAACCCGTTGATCGCGATCTGGGCTTGCCGACCTGCCATCCTAGAGCATCAGTGTGCACGGAGCTGGCGCCAGAGAAAGCAAAAGCTACATAAGCTGATGCTTCCTCTGTAGCGCCGGCTCCTGTCCCAGGAGGAGTGACACCAAGTGCACTTCTCCTGGGACTAGGGATGCACCAAAATTTTGGTGGCCGAAAACACCCCTATCGGCCTTAGGCCGATATGAAAATAAGCATCGATACAGGTGCTGAAAATAACCACGCCCCTCACTACCGCCCCTCACCACTGCCACCGCCCGCCGGTTCTGAGCCTTACCTGAGAATTCACTGAACGATCCCAGCGCTGGGCATAGAGATAAGTGAAGGAAAGATGTACTCCACTCATATCTATGCCCTTGGAGGACCGGAGCATCGTCACTTCCATTTACGGTGACTTGTATACAAGGCCATTTTTTTTTTTAAAGCTCTAGATCAATGCTTATTTTGATCTAATGCTTTACATTGTAGAGG